TCTCAGGCGGCGAAGTACCATGATGACTCCCTGGCCAGTTATAGCATTAGGCTGAGTTTTAGGTGAGCTAAGGGATCGGTCGCCGATACTGGGTACGTCTGGGTTGCTCTCAATCGAGCTTCGTGGCTTAGGCATTCCGCCGCGGGCGCACCCTTCGAGACAATTCGCGACTTCACCCTCTGAGCCGCGCGCCCCGGCACCTTTATCCGACTCGCTCGATGTGCGCCATTGCGCTCTCGCACTCACCCGTCGCGCGCTCTCCGTCCCGCCGCGCCGAACGGCCGCGCGCCGCGGGGCGCCGGTTCTCCCCCGCGCGGAGGGAGCAGCGCGCGGCGCCCCGACCCCGCTTTCCGGCCTCGCTGGGTCCTAGCGCCGGTGGGCTTCCTCTCTATCCTCCCATCCCGTCTTTCTAGGTCAGAGCCCACGAGGGGGCGAGAACGAGGTTAGAGAGGACTCGGGGGAGTCTGAGAGGGTGACCTGGTCCATCCTCCTGGCCCTGCGGGACCAGATTGTCCCAGACTGTCCCAGTCTGCTCTTGTGGGGTGGAGCCTGTGTCTATTTCAAGGAGGAAAACATCGAAGCTCTGCAATAGGATATGCATTCATTTATATCCGTTCTTCTGTCTCCCATGCAACCATGCAGCCACCTATGCATCCACGCATGCATGCAGCTACCCATCTATGCTTCCATCCATCCTATTTGAGCCAGACCTCGAGAACTAACAACCTACCCAGAGAAGAGGTCATAAACTGGGGCTTTGGGGGTCATGGCCAGCCCCAGCCGCCTCTCCACCGGTTGTAAAAGGCAGTGACATTTTGGAATGCGCAGTGCTCACCAGACGGAAGGGAGGAAAGGGGATTCCAGGCACAGGGAGCACCATGTGCAAGGGCATCACCCAGGTGTGCAGGGACATGGTCTGTTCGGCCTGTAAGTGAGGTGGATGAGGATGGAGATGAGATAGGGACAGCATTCTGTCTCCTTTGTAGCCTCATCCACGCAGCCCCAGCAACACTGCTTCCCTAAGGAGGAAGTTCCCCCAAACCCCATGCCTTCTCTATTTCTTCCAACTCTTTGTTCAGGGATGAGTTTTTTGTTTTCACCCAGCATACTCTTCCCAACCACCTTGACTTTTTCTAGAAGTTTTAGAGCCAGGGGTTGCAAACTCAAGTACTTACAGGTCACATACCTTAGTGACTGGGGCCAGGTGTCAGGTGGTAGGGAGTGGTGGGGGTGAAGCAAACTGGAGCACTGTGGGCCCTTCATGGACAGACAATTTTTTCAGCAGAAGCAGGGAAGCCATATTCTAACAAAACATCTTCTAAATTTCCAAAATTCAGAAATACTGAATGGACCAAATGAAACATTTTTGGGGGGGCGAATCTGGCCCATGGGCCATCTGTACGAAACCTCTGCTAGCGAGAACAATGTTTTAGTTCCTAACCTGCCTCCTTCCTGCCTCTACCTAGACTTTTTTTCTTTTTCTAGAACCCAACTCGTATGTGCCCAACAGCTCTGTAAAATACAAAGTGGATTGGGTTGCTCTTCTCGTTAAAATTGCCAACGACTCCCAGTTACCTCTAGGCCAGTGGTCGGCAAACTCATTAGTCAACAGAGCCAAATATCAACAGTACAACGATTGAAATTTCTTTTGAGAGCCAAATTTTTTAAACTTAAACTATATAGGTAGGTACATTGTTATTAACTTCATTAGGGTACTCCTAAGCTGGCCTTTGCTAAAAACGTCCTCAATCTGATTGAGGTACGTTCGCTGAGGTTGACCCCTTCCAACGTTCCCATCCACACTCGTCTTGTATACTTGTTTCATCTATCTCCTTTCGGAAAACCGACTTCTGGGCATGGGCCACAAAGTTTCAATCCCACTGTACGTGTGCGCCCGCACGTGGTATTTTGTGGAAGAGCCACACTCAAGGGGCCAAAGAGCCGCATGTGGCTCTCGAGCCGCGGTTTGCCGACCACTGCTCTAGGGTAACTATCCTGGCGTTCAACCCCTTAGCCTATGGGGTCTCCTACTGAAGCCGCCTCTTCTCTGTTCAGCCTTGACCTCAGCCAGTGTGCCTAAAACATCCGCTTTCTCACACCTCTGCGCCTTATACACTTCGCTTCCTGTCTAGAATATTTTATTCCCCAAACAAGGGATCCTCCAAGATACCTCCTCTACATCTCCCTTTCCTCTCTCACCCCTCCCTGTCCCACCAGTGTTCCCAAGTTTCAAATTTCACCCTAATTTTGTTCTAATCCTCTTCATGTAAGGTCTTATTGCCTCAAACAAACTAATGGAGAAGTATGAGTCATAGGGCCAGCAGTAGAGGGAGGCTAGAGAAAGAGGAAGAGGGAAGAAATGTATTCTTTTTTTTTCTTTTCTTTCCTTTCCTTTTCTTTTCTTTTTTTTTTTTTTTTTTTTTTTAATGTTTTCAGCCCGGCAGGCATGGCTCAGTGGTTGATTGTCGACCTATGAACCAGCAGGTCACAGTTTGAATCCTGATCAGGGCACATGTCGGGGTTGTGGGCTCAGCCACCAGTGTGGGGTGTGCAGGAGGCAGCCGATCAATGGTTCTCTCTCAACATTGATGTTTCTATCTCTCTCACTCTCTCTTCCTCTCTGAAATCAATTTTAAAAATATTTTTATTGATTTTTTAAAAGAGAGAGATGGAAACATCGATGAGAGAGAAACATCAATTGGCTGCCTCCTGCATGCCCCCTACTGGGGATCGAGCCTACATCCCGGGCATGTGCCCTGACTGGGAATCCAAAGGTGACCTCTTGGTTTGTAGGTCAACGCTCAACCACTGAGTCATGCTGGCCCAGCTCCATTGATTTTTAGAGAGGGTGGAAGGGAGGGGACAGAGGAGAGAGAGAGAGATCATGACAGAGAGAGGTGAGAGAGAGAGAGAGAGAGAGAGAGAGAGAGATCATAACAGAGAGAGGTGTTCCTGGCTTGTTGACCTGCATCATGAAGGTCTTGTTGTATAGGAAGAACCCCTCCCCCATGGCCACCATCATGCCCAGGATGTTGCTGCTGGTGACCAGCCCCTACAGCATAATCAGGGACCCTGGTGGCAAGGTGGCTGAGCCGCTCAGAGCCGATTGGGTGTAGGGAGCTGGAGATGATGACATTTTGGGCGAAGGTTACAGAAGAAGCTGCTGACAGGAGCTCCGCTAGCAGCGGGAGCTTCCAGGGCCCCAGGGAGCCCCGGTTAAGTCATTGCTGAGGAGGGAAACCAGGAATCCCTCCAGAACCTGCGAGGGTCAGACGAGACAGTGGGCAGCGCCGCCGGGTGCACAGCAGCCGGGGCGAGGGAGCTCTGAGTCTCTCCGAGCCTTTTTGGAGAGTTTCTGCTGAAGTGAGAAACACAGTGTTCCAGTGAGAGTTCTGATGAGTTCCCACCTCTGATGTGGAAATGCAAGTGTGGCCGGGCCAGCAGGAAGCCACTGATGCTGGCAAGCGCCCGCGCCCGCCGAGTGGGGAGGGAGGGCCTGCCCTTTGTGACCGCGCGGAGCTGCTGAGTCGGACTCGCTGCTTTGAAGGGAATTCTGTTTCTGCAGCTAAAAGCCTGCCGACTGATACGGGGAGAACATCTCCTCAATAACGGGGTGTTGCCCTTGGGAACAAAATGCAGGAAATGGGCCTGGGGTGGGGCCGATAACGGGAATTCATCCTCCTCTGTCACTTCTTTCTTTTTTTTCAAAATTAAAAACATCTGACACAATTATGATAAAATGTTTACATTGATTCTAGCTGTGGATCTGCACAGGTTTTCACTTTTCTGTATTTTCTTTCCAAGTAATTAAAGCCTATTCAGTGAAAGTGTTTTTATTTTTATTTTTTTAAAAAATATTTTTATTGAGAGGAAGGGAGAGGGAGAGAGAGAAACATCAGTGATGGGAGAGAATCATTGCTCAGCTGCCTCCTGCACACCCCACACTGGGGATTGAGCCTGCAACCAGGCATGTGCCCTACCTGGGAATTGAACCGTGACCTCCTGGTTCATGGGTTGATGCTCAACCACTGAGCCACGCCGGCCGGGCTGGAAGTGTTTTTAAATGGGATCTTGAAGAAAACCCCAAATAACGTTTTCATTGTGTGATTCTGTTTCCTAAAACCAGGTCCAAGAACCATCTAAAATGACCTCATTTCTGACTCGGAGAAGCATGGGAGCGGGGAGTACATCCGACCGCCTGGTCCCCTGCCATCCGTGCCCGTTGCTCTGGCGGCTCTGA